GACATTTTTCATTACTATGGTAATATATTTTTCTAGTAGTCCTAACACTGTAAAAATGACAAAACTACTTTCTGAGTGAGTTGTTAATGAGTTTTCTTTTCTTTAGGTGAGAAATCTTATGGCAACAAAAACTTAACATGAGGGCCATTTCACTCCTCTGATCTCCTGCAGAATTTTTGCTGAATTTGCAGTTCTATAACTCAGGATACATTTTTCACTCCTGTGACAGGTGGCTACACACAGGTGTGCTGGGATTGTGGAGCAGTCTATCAGCCTGTCAGCTTCTGCAGTCATCCCACTAATAGACTGCCAGGTCTCCTTTGTTATCCTGGAAACCTATCCTTTTATTTTCCTTTTTTTTTTCCCACTTTTTTTTTTTTTTAAATTTTGAGGGACTGTACTCCTATTGTGAACAAACCTGTTGAAATTCAAGTTTCATTATTAATTCTGCAGCAAATCTGTATGGGCAGTCCAGTGTGCCTTAAAATATCTGTGCCTCTTCATAAAATACCCCACAGCTCCTGCCTGAATGTATGTGATGCTCCACACATGCTCAAAACCCCAAGGACATCTTGCCTTGCTTAGTGAAATTAATTTTGTCATTGCAGTTTTTGTCAATAAAGGTTCTTAATTTCTTTTAAAGATATTATGCAGAGACAACACCCTGGTTCTCTAAAGGAAATCACTAAAACAAAAGAAAATACTAAAAGAGCTAAAAGCTTTTATATTTTTGTGCTGCTCTCTGGAGATATGCTTTAGCTAAAGGAATTGCAGATAGAAAACCTGCATAGGTAAATTCAGTATATTACCTTTGCCTGGCTTATTTTGACTTGCTGCATCCACATCAATGACTTGATAAAAACACACATTGTATTCCAGGGCAGCCTAAAAAACTTAGGCCTGAGCTGACAATAAACAGCAAAATATGAAAGCAGAGATGTGCCCTCAGCTAAGTCTCTGGTCCAGAATTCCTAAAATAATTTACTGTTTAAAACACTGAAAAGTGAAAGCATGATTAATCTAAAAATTAGTGTAACTCCAACTGAGCTTGTTTATCTTTTGCCCCTCTGATGAAGCTACTCTCATAGTTTAGCTTATAAGCTAAGTCCATGGCATTAGTTTGACAGTCAGTAGTTCTGTTAGAGTTAACACAGTGCTCCAATACCACTGCAAGGGAAAAAAACCAGCAAGTGCTCAGAGCAAAAACACCAAAGCCGATTAGCTCCATGGAGACTTGTTTCTACATCAGACTGCATGGCTTATTGCTTCTGAAAAAGACTGCAGTGTCAGGTACGCTGGGCTGGTGACACTGAAATTACACAGATACACACACAAAAATCAATTTGTGAGCAAAACCAGCTGAAGACTGTGCATGAAATACGCCCAAAGCATATGGGGGGAAGTGGAGGGGGGCATTTACATCGTTATGTACTCAACTCTGGTCTCAAATCTTTGCAATGCTGACAGAGGTGGACACTTTTTGGTATCTCTGATCATTGTATTCAAGCAGCTCCTTCTTAAGGTCCTGACTTTATAAACTTTCCCTATTCAGCAGACACTTGAGCATCTCTTTCAACCTGTTCAAGTGGCACATAAGCAGGTTTTAAAGTGTTTTGATGAATAGCATGGATCAAAGTATGTGCTTAAATGTTTTGCTAAACAATTAAAAATTGGCTTGAGAGCTGGCATAAAGACACTCATTGAAAATTACCAACCTTTATGAAAATTAAATGAAGCAATTAAGCTTAGCTTAGCTTTCCTATCCATTCTTCTAGAAAGGCATATTAAGTCCAGCACACAAGCTCTGGTTGTTGGAAGTGTCAGGATCAGTTAGTCTAGGGTAAGTTAAAACAAAGCCTTTTTATAGAAAGGCCTTGATATGGACAAGGTGCTTTGTATACCTCTTAGCTCAAGGTAAACCCTGGAGGAAGACCTTAGAGAAACAGCTTAACAACATAAAATAAAAATTATTTATACCTTCATCTTCCTTAGGCTTGCATCTTGCAATAGGCGACTACAGCTACAAAAATTACAGGCCCTTGTTGAGGCAAGGCTGATATCCCTACTTTCATTGCACTCATTCCCTTTTGCACTACTTCAAAGTCTCTGAGAATTTCACTTTCCCTGACCCTTCCTACATTTGTGTTAATCCCCAAACTGTAATCTTTCTAAACTTGAACAAAACTGTTTTGTCTACGCAGGACTTGTTATTCAGGCAGCAAAGCTAAAACCAAAAAAGGATGAACTGGGAAAGTCTACAGGGAGAGGAGACAAGTCTGTTCCCCATGCAAGGGCCTGCTAAGTATTATATTGCTTAAAAAGACCTGCAGAAACATTTGAATTCCAGAAAAATGTTGCCAGCTGAACTGAGAGTTTATTTTAATTTGAGAAAAGCTGAATTCATCTTGTGAATCTTATTTCAGTGTGTTTTGCTCAGTTGTCCTTTACCATCAGCACTAAGCCCAGAAAAGGTTGTGTTTTCCTGTGCAAAACCACATCAAAATCACATGGTAAGAGAGTCCTTCATATTGAAAAAGGAAAACCATACATGGAGGAGACAAACACTAGGAAAGTGTTAAGGAATATTTATGGTATCCCTCGAGATGAATTAAAAACACATTTGTATACTTGAACATAAAAGAAAAACGTAATAAACAATGCATTGGGCAGAGTCCTACCACACTATGCAGTTCGAATGTTGAGTCTGAAAAGATGTGCCACAAACAGATTCCATATATACTCTTGCACAAGCACCATCCTGAGAGCTATTGCACTGGGCACCTCCTCCCAGCCCTGGCTCTACTGCCCGAAGGTGGCCCCTGAGCACTTGCAATCCACAATGGCTGCAAGACAATGCTGAGGCTGCTTTTGCTCCCACCACCAAGGGAAATTTTCCACCCTTGCAAGGAATCTGTTCTGCCTCTGCCATTCCTTTCAGCCAATTTAACCCCTTCATGTAGTTGGACTTTCTTGCCCTGTGTGCCAGATTGTGCCTCAGCCAAGTTACCACTGCCAATTTTAATCTCCCCTTCATTAGAAATCAATGCCAGCAGACAAGAGTTACCTAAAATTGTACACCCAATTAGAAGCAATATTAAGAGTAATACCAAGATCTCATCACTGCTAGAATGTCATCTGCTAGACTAAGAGCTAATGACCTCAGGACAGCTCTTACTTGGAAAGTACATGCACCTTGTTAAGACAGTTATTCATTGTAAAACTATTTAAAGAAGACAGAGAAAAAGAGTACATGGAAATATGAAGAAATGGAAGTTACAAATAGAGCAGCATAGGAAAGTCAAGAAAAAGTTTCATCATCATATAGGATGACACACAAAAGCAGAGGTTAAAATCAAGGCTAGAATATGTTGGTCTAAGTTATCACAAAGACATTCAGACAAATTTAATGCTCTGAAGTCTATGGAGTTTGCATGAAATGTCCTCTACAGCTGAGGCTTAAAAAATCACAATCTCTTTAAAGTGAGAGGGTGCAGATCAAATGACTGCTGCTGGGCTCCTGAAATTCAACTTTCAGAGACATGCAGTCTTGTAATATACATAACTAAAATTTACCTTTTTAACCTGTCTGGAGTCAGATATCTGATTGTTTTTGCCAAGAGGGAGTCTGACCTCTTGAAGCAATGCACATCCATATCTGCCAACCTACACCCATGAGGTGATGAACTGAAACCCCCAAACTTGTTTCTTCCTCTGTCTCTCTTTTTATTTTTAACAAAATGCTCCTGTGGACACTAAATATTTAATTTTCAGAATTAAAAAAGGGCTTTGGGTTTAGTAGATGGCCTCAATCTAGTTATAGTATCAGCAGTTTTTCCCTCTAGGGAGTAATTAAGCAAAAGCTCTGGCCACAATACTAAACTGTGATAATGACAGAATTTAAATCATTTTCATACCACATGCTGCATTGCAGTTCATTTTCATATGCTCTGCCTGCCTTCAACGAAGGTGTCAAGCTTATAAAGTCTCCTGGGCAAAAGGATGACCAGAGTCCCAATGCCTGGAAGGAAGCTCAGGGGAAAGACACACATTGCCATACTATATGTGATAAGGTCTCCACATTATGAAATTGGCAGGCAGGAAGTAAGAAGACCCTGGAGATTACTATATTTATCTCCGTCACACAGCTAGCACCTGAGATTGGTGATGTTTTGTTGGAGATCCACCTGGGCTATAAATTATTTGTTAATAATGGACATTTAGCACACAGCTACTGCACTCACCCTAAAGCTGGTGAATAGTTATAGTGCAGCAAATTTCCATGGTCCACACTTTGCAACACATTATAGCTGAGACTATCCCCTCACTCCAGTGCTATATGGAGAAAAAAAATAGCATTATAGCCACATTACTTAGTAGGTCACTGTTAGCTTGGGTGCAGCATTGCCTTGACAGTTACATTGAGTCTAATTCCAGCTCTGCCTTTTTCAGCACAAATGAAAGGACCCTTAGGGGAAGGTCATTTGCCAGACATCCCATCTTGGGCTGGGAAACAAAACTATTCACAAGAAAAATGGGGGCACCAAGAGCAGCCTCCACATAATATTTATATCTGAAATTGATACAACTAAATACTCAGGGGGAAAAAAAAACAAACAAACAAACAAACAAACAAAAAAAAACCCAACTAATCGAATAGAAAACAATAAAAACAAAACAAAAAACATTAAAAAAATCCCAACCAAGCAACCAGCTTCTCAAAGGCAGCAAATAGCTTTCTATAATTCATTCAAATTTTGTCTCTAATTTTGACCACCTTCAAGTTCACTAAAATCAGACCCAGCTATGTAAGGTGGTAGATGAATAAATATTTATCACACACAGAGCTGGTAATCATACTTGTGAGATCTCCCTAGAGGAGGTAATAGAATAAGAGCAGGGAAGGAGGCTGATAAGAGAGCTGGGAATCAGAAACATGGTTAGTGTGGTACATGGAAGTAGCAAGGAAGGGACACATCTTACAAGAAGAAGGAGTGGAGAGAAATGGGAGCAGGAACTTGGTGAAGGGCATGGGGAGCAACACATGGATTGTCAGAAGTGAAACTTTCAGGCTCATAGAAGCAAGGCAAGGTTAAAAAGAAAGGTATTTAGCAGTAAAGAGCACCCACTGAAGAGCTGAAATGGGTCTCCTGTATACAGCTAGGCCAAAAGGATGCACCAGAGGAAGTGTGACCAGCAGGTCAAAGGTGATTTTCACCTTCTACTTCACTCTCATGAGACCCCACCTGGAGTGCTGCATCCAGCTCTGGGGGCCCCAATGTAAGACAAGCATAGACCCATTGAAGCAAGTCCAGATGAACCCACAAAGATGGTTTCTTCTGTAGAAACAGGCTGAGAGAGCTGGGGTTGCTCAGCTTGGAGAAGAAAACAGGAAGCACATTCTGGTACAAAACAGGGGCCTACAAGAAGGCTGGAGAGCGACTTTTAACAAGGGTGTACAGTGGCAGAACAAGGGGAATGGCTTTAAACTGAAAGAGGATGAGCTTAGATAAGACATTAGGAATAAATTCTTTCCTGAAAGGGTGGTAAAGCATTGGAAGAGGTTTCTTAGAGTAGTTGTGCATGCCCCAGCCCTAGAAGCATTCAAGGCCAGACTGGATGGAGTTTTGAGCACCTTCCACTGTTCTAGTGAGGAAGAAGTTGTTCCTGCCCAGAGCAAGGGCTTGGAATTAGATGATCTTGAAGGTTCCTTCCAATGCAAATAATCTATATCAAAAAATAAAAAGAACACAGACAACCCAGAAGCACAAAGGATTGTAGAGGTATTATCAGTAGGAAATGAGCAAAAGGGCAGGACACACATTCCTCAGCCAGAGTAAAAGAGTCCTGAAGCTCACCACTCCAAGTCACCCACAGATCTCCACAACATAGAAAATGTTTCATTCCCCTTTTGGGTATTTGTTCACACAGGGAACAAAGATCTGACACTGCACCACTTTTGTGCTGGTACCAGGCTTTGGAGCCATCAGCCTGAAGACCCTATTTCTCTTGATGGTTTTTAAAGCTGTCTTGTATGATGGTAAAGTACAAAAACAAAATGAGGGAAGAGAAGAGATTGCTGTTCTAAGCAGCTTAAAACCACCTCTTAAATAAGAATTATACTAAAATAGCATTACTGAGGTTAAAAAATTAATTCCTCATAACTTAGAAAATCCTAAATTTTGGTAATTTCCAATTCTGAAATATTCCAATTCTGAATTCTTGTTTTGATGAATCATTATGGTAGCACTATCTGTGTATGGTAACTGTGCATGTTGCTCCTGTGAATTCATATTTCATCCTACTTTCCACCTCCTAGGGTAGGAAGAAACATGGGGCTGGGGGAACAAACAAAACAGAAAAATTTTGAAGAATAATGTTGATGTGTATGTATCCCAAAAGCAGGGAGTTTTGAACATATCAATTTTAAACTGGAAGATTATTCATTCAGTGGTATAGGCTTGGAATGTTTACTTCCAGGACAAACCTAGAAAGATACTGGAAATCTTTCACTTTGGCTAAAACTTAAATCTTACTAATTCTTTGAGGTTCCTCTATTTCATCTCAAATCATTCATCTATTCATCTCTAAACATAGCAAACACAGCAAAACCTGTCACAAAGGCTTGAAAACTTATTTCCTTTGGGTTTTTGTTTGCTTAACATGGACTGTCAAGGAATCAATACCTATTCTCATATGCACACAAAGACAAGTAATCTTAAGCATGGATATGAATAAAAGACAAGCAATAGATTTTATGCAATTGGGACACTGCATAATCTAAGTTTGTAAACCCCTTCAAAGACCTTTATAGAACTAATTAAAAAGATAGAAAAATATCTATCTCAATTAGGACCATACTTGCATATGTAACGCTTTTGTGCAAATATGGTGACAAGGTAAATATTAAACATTGTGTGAAACCAATATATTGGGAAGGAAATAAAATGTCTTAAGTGCAATGCTTCAGGAAAGGGCTGGACACTCAGGACTGACAAAGTGGTTGGCAATTTTTTAAATCCTCTATTTTTTTCTGTTATTCAGAAGGATAGATTAAAATTCCCAGTAGCATTCTTAAGACATTTCACTGATTAGAAGAATTCTGATAATATAGTCAGGAAGTGGAAACAACAGTAAGTGATTTGTTGCTACCCCTAAATGAGAGATCAAATTTCAATAACTACATTTCAAATACTTGCAATCAGCATTACAGCAAAAGACTTCAAACACACAGCCTCAAACAAAACCAAAAAAAAAAAGCACTTCTATAAGTGTAAAGATTACAGTTATTGAGCATATTTTTGCATGTTATTATTCACCAAGACCTACCTTATTTAGTAGAAATGATTCATATGTGTCTTCTCTATAAATTTTGCATTCAAGCCCAAGTTCATGCACATTATGACAATTAATATCTTCTTTCTACTCCTGGAAGAGAGACCCATAATTATACCATTAGCACAGGGAGTTCCATTTTTCTCCAAGAGCGATACTGCATCCATAAGAGAAAAGTTCTGGCCTTACTTCCAGAATCTAAAGAGTGTCTCTGGACAAGAATGACTTCTCACTACACAAATGCAAGAGAAGTAAAGATTATACAGAAATGGCGTGAGCTACATTAAAGTTAGGCTAAATGATTTTCTGCCAACAGGTTAGACAAAGAAACAGAACAAATGGTGAGAATTTTCAGCAATACACTTTGTTGGTTTAACAGGATTTAGATGTTCTATACATATAAATTATATACACTTATTCATGGTATGTTACTGGTCAACAGCTGCATGAACATTTTCAGCAGAGCTGAGGCCTTCTGCATGTCTTGCTATAATAAATGTGCAGTTTGTGAAATGGTTAGATAAGAAATGAAACAAACATATAATTATTACTCTCTTGGAGACCAAGAGAAAATTTTGTTTCATTTTGATTTTAACACACAGACATGACCCCTGTGAATCAAAACAAGGGAAAAAGTTTATATGAACTGAAGAACCAAGAAGTGCTGATGTTTTGCATAAGTTTTATGAATTAGCCTCCTTTTTGTGCTGTACTCATTGATAACAAATTGTGGTCTGGGGACAGCTTCTGCAGTGGATCAGTGGTTTGGACTGTGAATGACTCTGATAACCCCAGGTCAGCAAAAAGCCTTTGTCCTCTATTAGGAATGTTTTACTGAGACATTCAGAACATTTCCACAAATAAGTAAATAAAGCTATAATTTGACTGCCTTCACCTTAAACCAAGAAGAGCCACTGATCAGGATAAAAGACATCAGGTTGGCATTTCATGTCATACCCAGATGCAACCAGCCCCTGGAGCAACAGACACCTGAACCAGATGCTGCAAGGCAGCACACAGTGGTATACCACAATTGTTAATCAAGGAGACAGACACCTAGAGACAGGAATGAAAAGACCTAAGTACACTTATACATCACCAGCAGCATAAAAGGGGAGTGCAGCAGCCAGTTCTCCTAAATTACCAGTAGTTTCATCATTTTACTTAGAAGCAGTAGATTCTGCTGCCAGAGTTTTGATGCAACCTGTTTTCTTGTTTAAAAGAGTGGGAAAGTTATACTGAGTTTACTGTAGCATAGCACAGAAAGTTAATTTATGTTAAATGGCCTCAGCAAATGCCTGCAATCAATGGCTTGAGTATGGCTCAATGTATTTTCTCTCCTCACAGGTGAGTCCCAGAGCCTGGGTGAGTATTTATGTTTGGCAAATACTTCATTTAGCAATGACAAATTAAAGCATGTCCTTTTTATTATTCCCTCACCTCTCCTTTCCTGTAACTCATTAAAAAAAAAAAAATAAATAAAAGCCACCAATACAATTCCACACAAAATTTTCCAAGAGTCCAGACTCTGAATGAAGGTCATCTTCCACATTTGCAAGGTTTCAAAGCAAATGTGCAATCTATAAACCAGAAAAACCAGAAAAACTTACACTCATTGAAGTCTACATCACATAGCATCCTTCTGTCGATATCTCGCATGCCTTTCAGGTGCAAACACAGCCATCAAACTAGAAATGAATGGCTTGAACCTTGCTGCTCTTTGGGCCAGGTGAACTTTTTTAGCCTATGTCCTGCTGAAACTCAGTCTTCTAGTCCCTAAAATCCTCAAAACTATCATAAATAACTTGAAATTTAGCTTGAAAGGCCTATTTTAATTGAATTCATCATAGGAAGTCAAAGCTTTTAATTAAGAAAAAAACAGTTTTTAAAAGTCTATAAGATCACAAGTGTGTAAGAACCATTTCCACAGACTTCATAATCTAGTGTTAGTTTAGAGAAACTGCTTTGAATCCATACTTTGAAATATCTGCTTGAAAGCCATGGTCATTTCTTCTAATTTTTAATATTTAGGAAACATAAGCAAAACCTAGTGCAAGCCAATGCAAGTGATAAGCCTACCAAATTTTTTAAGCACTATGCATAGCTTTATACGATAAGGCCACCCACTCACCAGCTGCAGCTGAACAAGCCATGTGCTAGCAGAGACAAACAGATACACAGTAAGATACAAGTATGTCATCCAATAATAAACAACTACACCAAAATCTTACATCAAAAAGTTTCATAAGTTTTAAAACAAAGTTAGGGTGGGAAATTATTTTACCCATCCTGTTCTTGGGATGTAGAGTCACATTGAGCCTTACTTTTGCAGAGAGATTGCCCTTTGAATAGAAAACCATTTGTCAGCAGCTGAAGCTTCACAGCATTACTATCTAGGGTTTGGCACATCAGTAAGATACTGAAAACTGAGGCATCAGAGGCGCTGGGAAACAGCAGGAATACTGATTATGGCACAGCTGCTTATGGAAAAAGGGTAAGAATTCCAGCCCATGGAGAATTTTGTGGAAGCTGTATTCTGCTGGACCAACCTTTTATTAATGATGTAGCCACAGGGGCTCATTAGGCATCTGCAAACTACAAGGATTTTATATATAGCCCAAACAGGTAACAGTAAACTGTAGCATTTACCTTTGTATTGGGAAACTGGAACTAACTGCACAAGTCACTGAAAACTCAGGCTGCCAACCCATTATTTGACCTCTGTTCCTCTGACCACAGCCATGAATAAGCCTTGCCTCTTTCTCTGGCAACTTTCCATTCAGCCTAAGTGCCATACATTACATAAAACTAAAATTCAGCATCTCCAGAATGCTGAAACCAGAAGTGAGGCTTTTAGATTTTAACCATAGTTTGCAATATTTAACAGAACCTACTCAATTTCTGGCAGTAACTGGCTGCAATTGTCATTGCTAAGTTGAAGCCGACTTATAAATCAGCAGAATAAGAAATTATTAACAAAACAGTAATGAAAATATGATGGCATGTTATTAGCAAAGGAACATGGTGAATTTCATAGTAGGTCATAATGGAAACATTATTCAGTATGGGAATTCTTCACAGCTTAGGAGGCCTGTCCCATTAAGTGATCCATGATTTATTTCAGATTTTGATTTTCTTCTAACATATGACTTTTGTTTTGCCATATCAAGCACACTGTCTGATAAGAGAGAGGAATCAGAAGAGTTAATTGAACAGCCAAGTGATAAAGACTAATAAATCCCTGGATTTCTATCTGGTGAGTACATTTTAATAGGTAAGGGGAAGTAAGTAAAAGCCAGGCAGGGTGACTCATCAGTTCTAGCAATGTAAGAAAATTAGATTTTAAGTGGAAAAAGATGTTTCCTAGGAAACTGCATGATCTGCTTGTGGAACATCAAACAAGAGCAATTTCCTAACAACAGTCATGGCTAAATTGATCTACTGCACCTCAAACAGCTTTATCAGTGAGAGAGAGATTGAGTCTCTTTTACATTTTCTTAGTTACCATCATCAATTTGTCTATTATTTGACTCCTTCAGCTGTTACCTTTCTGACCCTCCACAAGTACAAGTATGATTTTGCCATTATCTAATTGGAAAGCGCATTTTGCTTTCCCTCATCTTTTCTGTCTTTCTTTTTTTTTGCAGCAAGCTCTAGATTCCACTGCTGCTGCCACTGAGCCAGAAAGATGTGAGCATGTATCATGGTATGCAGCAGGCATAAGCTCAAGCAAGTGCTCTGTTTAAAACCCTCCACTTTCCAGCAATGGAAGCTGCAACATAAGCAACCTCCTGCATTCCCTGTTCTGAGATGTTCAATATACAGTACATTCAGCCCACCTATACAATTTACACTGACCAAAATCAGTCTTTCCCTTTACACTGTCTACATTTTCATTCTAATAAATTAAAAGCCTCACATTTCTGTGAAAGCATATAACACTTTGCATTTGGCACAAAAGAGATCAAGTATTTCAGATACTAGGGTGGAGAACATTTGTTCTCCTTGATAATTTCCAATGCAGATTGTTCAATATGCATAAGTTATAACTGATGCAAAGCAGAGACTGTCTTCTGAGCATGACCATGGATTTCTGAGCATAAATAAATGCATGTGCTGACTGTGTGCAGTCAGACAGGGAATTCTAGTACCAGGCAGCTCCTTGGCACTCATGCTACACACACAGCTCACCTCTGTCCTGTGACACTGAGCAGCAAAGGCACATCTGCTCAGCAAAGATGCTCTCAGAGCACTTCGTTTTTTGGACATGCCTCTGTGCATTTAATATATGCATGCACACTGAATCCAAGGTATCACAAAGCAAGCAAACTTATTCTAGGTCCATACATTCTATTCTAAAGCCAAGGCATTCAAATTACACCTAGACAAAATTTCCTGGCAGAAAAGATATATCTGAGGAAACCCAAATGCCTAGTAGCTCTAATCCTGGCCACTCTTGAGCTATCACAATGGATGAAGACAACTGCCAATTTTAAGACCCAAAATTTAAATAGGCTGCCAAATTCAGCAGTAGTGAAACATTTTCAAGTACATTTATTGCACAGAGTTGCAAATGGAGAGAAATACATAAGACCAAATCCATTCATGCTCACAAAGTTGTCTACTGTGCAACTTGTGAGGAAATAAGAAACAGAGATATTATAGGTCTCTTCTACATAAGTGCTGTTCTCATCAAAATGAACTAACTACCTACTATAAGCCCATGTAACCAAGGTTTTATTATTACTACCACTACTAATTTGGAGATTATGATGCAGACAGAAATTATGAAATCCAAAATTCAGAAAGTCGCTTCTAGCACTTGTAATGCCCAAAATAAAGCAACCTGTTCTAGAAAACTTAAGTTCTAGTATGTATGATTGCATGGGCAGTGGAAGCTGTCCTTCAACATGAATTTCTCCATTAAGAGCTGTGCATCAAGTCACACATGGAACAGAAAACCATGTGAAAGCCAGGAAAAGTGAGAGAAGAAACTTTGTGTTATGGATTTGTGGCTCCAGAGTCCTGAAAGAGATAGAATGGGGAGAGTTATCCCATGTAACTGATTCTTTGGATTTGCAACAGTGATTTTA